TTGATATGCAAATTTCAACAGCTGCCTCCCCATACTCCTTCCATTTCGATTCCGGCTGCGTCAACACCGAAAATAACAGCCAATCAACTGTGGCAGGACACGGACGTAGGCGCGGCATGCGGCATGCAGCATGGCCTGGTCATGGCGTAACTCGCAGCAATCCTTTCAACATGTTGGCCAGGCTCTGGCTCTGGCTCTGCATCAGTTCCCCAGCCCCTGCCCCTGTCCGTTTGCTCTGCCTGAAGAGAGGCCATTAAAATCATCATACACCTTGGACAAAGGCTGGTTGGTGGCAGAAGGCCAGAGCAGTGGCAGGGGCATTGGAAGGGGCAGGAACAGGACTGTGGCATGTTTGCTGTTTGCTATGTCCACACAAGGATAACCTGAACAGAAAGACAGCCACAACGAACACAAAATACACTAAACGGGGGAGTTATTTGATTATATTTGATGGATGGTCAGGAGTGGCTTGGGTCTGTAATACCCTTAGATGCAATAGATTCTCCAGCTGTATAGAGATGTTCCATCATGTTTCATTTCTGCTCTCAAATGGGATCACAAACTCACTCAACTCTTTGACTGGATAGTGCCGAACGATGCCATCGATAGTCCTGCTGCTGTCTCTGCCACCCATCCTCTGCCGTAACAGAGTCCTGCCTGTACCCGAGTGTCGACAATGTTGCCTCAAAAATATGGCCACCGCAGCACATTTCAGGTCTGTTGCTCCTCTCCCTTTGCCGCTTCCCCTCTTGCTGCTGCTTCCTCTGGTACTAGTACTGCTGCTGCTGCTGCTGCTGCTGCTGCTCCTGCTGCTGTTGGTGCTGCGTGCATTTATAAATTATGCTGAACATGTAAAGTGCCATTTTGAATATGAAATTTGATGCTTTTTTAAGCCAACCAGCCGGACCTGGAGCTCAGAGAAAGAGTGGCGGACTACTGGTGGCCAGGATGGACATTCTTTGTTGACTTTGGCATATTTTATGAGGGGGCGGACGAGGAGCTGGAGCTGTTTTCTCATATTTTAATTACTTGCAGCATGCAATGCGCATTTTTCCCCATTTAACCATCTAATTTTGTGTCATCTATATTATTTTGCAGCACCAGCAGAAGCAGCAACCCGCAGCAGCCACATTTGTACTCATTTACTCATGAATGGAGGTGCGAGAAGCCAGAGCGACTGCAGCTAATGGAGAGTCATGGCATGCAATTGCTCTTAAGCCAAATTGCATTTTGGCCTACTGCTCAGCAGAGAGAGGATAAGAGAGCAGAGGCAGCTGAAAAAAGCAGTGAAAAAGGTCAGAAAATCAATCGGGCGGAGGCCCGGAGCTGAAGCCGGGCCGGGCAGCAACTAATTCATTTAAATCTAGCCAAATCTGAGAAAATCCCTGGCAACGACCTTCGGGATTTTGAGATTTTACGAATGTCAACCGAATGCCGCAGCACCGAAAGCATCTCAAAGAAGGCGCTGGGGGACATTCGGACAGGGACATGAACATGGACACGGACATGGACATGGACCTGGACCCGTGCCGTGCCTCTCCTCCTCCGAAGACCAGGGTCTGGGCCTTGTTAAGCTAAGCAAGCAAATCACCCGGGCCCGGCGGCCCCGAACAGACGGCAACCCGTGTGAGCTCTTTGGCTAAAATAGTTGGCAACACCACATTAAACAATGATGCCACACACACACACACACACACACACACCCAACCCCCGCAAGAGGGGTGTGCTGGAGAGAGAGAGAGAAGAAGACAGCTGGCTGTGCGTGCGTGAGAAAATGAGGCCACAGCAAAAGTCGCAGAACTTTAGCAATTTGAAGCTAATATGTTGACAATCCAGAACAGGGCAGACGAGAGCCACGCAAGGCAAGACGAGGAGGGCCAAGGAGCCGGACGAGGCGACGACATCGCCAGCGTCGCGTCCAGTGGCAGCAACACCATCCATGGTTATGTGTATTTAAGTCACTGCCAAAGCCGCGCCCGCAATGTAGAGGAAAGGTTGGGGAGGTCTCCTGCAGCGGAGGAGAGTGCGTGCCAGTGATGAGGTTTGCTTAGAAAAACGTGTGACAAACTGTGACCAAGGCAAAGGCAAAACTGTGATCTGTTAGCTGTGACTGTAGCCAGTACTTGGGGTAATACCAAAAGGTTGCAGATATCTGTCCTGTACCGATAGAGATCAAAAGGGAGTTGTGTCAGTGTTTTTTTTCCCTTGCTCATCTCTGGCGTGCAATCTTTTAATAACAAATTCCCCAGTCCGCCGCTGCTGCTGCTGGTTCTTCTTATGCTTTCTCATATGAGTAACACAAAGCTCTAAAGGGAGAAATCCGGGGACAACTCGTAAAAAGTGGATTTTACTGCTTAACTCTCGCACATCAAATGAAACAAATGGAAAACGCACAGAACGCAGAACACAGAATGGACCCATAGTCAGTGTCAGAGTCAGAGTCGGAGCCGGGACACACGAGCTTTCCATATAAATTGCTGCGTTTTTTGCATAAATAAAATAAAAGTCAAATAAAATGCAATATTTTCCGCTGCATTTCATCTGCAACTGGCATCAGCCGCAGTGCTGCTGCTGCTGCTGCTGCTGTGTTCTCTGTGGCAGGTGCAGTCTGCACAAATCCCTTGCACAAAAGTCAGCAATCAAAACAGATTAAAATATGATTTGACAGCTCCGCAAACAAGTATATGTACTCGTATATATATAGATATTCATATCGTATACATGCCAGATGCACAAACACATCCTCCAATCATAGAGTCCCCTGCAAGTTGGAGCGAATCGATCCCGATTTCTCTTTGGCATTTGCGATATTCGCATTCGTTCGAGTATTGTTTCCATATTTAAATAGAGAACCCGTCAGGGCCATCCGGCATATCTTCCGTGTGCCGTAAGCCTCCGATTGTTCGACTGCTGCGTGGATGGCATTTTTATCAAAGCGCCGCCGCTGCCGCTGCTGCTGCCACTGCCACATGCAACAAGAGAGAAATGCCTATTAAAAATTTAAATCAATTTTCAATATGGATTTCCATGCATCCGAATCGGCATCGAGAGCGCATATCTTTGGCTGACACTTTTGTTTTATTATTATAAAACGCACCGCGGGGCGGGGCAGGCGGATCCTGAATTCTGGTTTGAATTCATTTCGGAAATGGCATTTGGCATATGCTCCCAGAGCTGTCACTGGAGGAGCTATCTTGCATGGCAACGAATATACGTGGATATTCGTGGCTTTAGCTGCTTTGTCCTCTCTCTGGCTTGCAACAATTAACAGTTAATAAGAGCCGCGACTAAGCGGTCGCCGAGCGGGACCTATCGCTATCTGACCGTCCGACCGACCCCAAGCAGATTTGTTGCAATTAGCCAGGCCGCAGCCGAATCGCAGGAGTGCCTAAGTCGCCAAAGCCCGAAATGGCCGGCCCATAATTAAATTATCATTAACGATGTCGGTTTAGTAAATCGGCCTCTGTAGGCCGTTATCACAGGACAGGAGCACAGGAACAACAGTTCGAAACCAGTGGCATAGTCAGAGAGGGGGATCAGCGACTACAAATGGCATTCGGAAGAAGAACAAAACTCCATTCAACAGATTACCCTTGGGGTTGACCTGATAACCCCTTCATGTGGATGCTCTGGATCCACTTCTCATCCACTTTTTCCCGCTCACAATCTCTCAGTTCGCAGCATTTTTCGACACTCGGCAAATCACAGATTTTTGCGATATTTCGACTGAAACAAAAGTGGAAATTGGAAAACATAAACCAACCGAAAACCAAAACCGCCGCTAAATGAGACCCCAAATGTAATTGTATTTGCAGTTTCGGTGAGCACAACTGTACCTCGAAAACTGGTGAGTGTTCAGTGCAAATCCACGCCAAATGCAAGAGGGGAGTGGGTGGTGCCTGAAGTGTGCTTAAATTCTCATTAGACGCATTAGTGGCGCTGACCAGCTGCCCAATGGAGGCGGCACAGCAGCCTACCCCTCCGCTGCCGCCCACGGACCCTGCCTAAATTCAATAATAATAATTGATTGCTTATTACAAATACAGCAAAAGCAACAGCAAGGGGGAAAGGGACATTCGGCAGTGCATATGTGGCTCAAAATTTATGTGGCTCATCGATGGGGATGGGTATGGGGATGGGGCAGCAGAAAGGGGTCCATTTCGATATTTGCTAATATTTACGCATTAGTTATATGCCAATTCAGGTAGTGGTTAGGGGGCAGGGCCACATGTGCATAGACAGCATAGACATGCCTCTAAGTCCCCCTGTAAATGGCCAACCGCACGGCCCCACATGCGGCAGAGACAGAGACAGACAGGGAGAGAGATTTAGAGACAGAGTTGGAGTTGGAGGAACGTCATTAAAATTGAATGTTTTCATTTCGGTTTTGTGCAGCCAACACAATAATTTTAATTATTAACTTTATAATTATGCAAAATCACGAATTACATTAGAATCACTTTGTTATGCTGATTTGGTTTTCGATTTGGTCGCTTTGAGTCGAACGCCCCAAGCACCAAGAATTTCTCGGATTGCTCGCCGCTTGATGTGGCACTTTTCATAATGTTGATAGGCATGCAGATCCCTCAAGTGGCATTCTCAGCCCCCACCCCAACATCATCAACACAACGACAAAATTAATTAAACCCCAAGGAGATCCATAACAAGAACGATATTAAAGTAATGAATGAAATGGAAGCCAGCTTAGGCGACTGAAGCACACCCTTCATCTCTACAAATAAGTGAAAGATGGCAGCCGACTGCTACTTCCACAAAATATACAATAGTACTGTAGAAATTCTTCCATTCAAAAAGGTCGCTTGAATGATAACAAAACGAACCAACATTTTTTGAAATATTTATTCCATGTTGCAGTGTCAGGGGAGACTTTCCCAGCACTGGGAGAGACCCACTCGCACCCAAGCTTTAACCGATTAGTTGACCGAACCGTCTATAAAACCAGAAAACACAAACGGGTCCCCGTTCAGTACTATTATAACCGCGCTTCGAAAATGAGAAACTTAGCGACATTCCGCAACACCTCATTCGGGATGATGGTGCTCTTCCTGGTCTGCAAGAGAGCTGCCGCTGCCACTTCTTTTAGGGAATTCATCGAGGAAATACCTGTCAACGTGACGCTGGTTTTCGGAACTATCATATTGTCCGTAGTCTGGCTGGGATGCACCTATGTAATAACCAACAAGCACCAGAACGCGATGCAATACATGCAGCGGCAGCTGGACGAGCTCTGGCTGCTGCAGGAGAAGCCAAATGTCTGGCCGAAACCCGGGGGAGAGATTCCGGTGACATATGCTCCCGCAAAGAAACCAACGGAGCATGCTGAGGGGAAGCTAGAGAAACCTAATGATGTCCTCGAATCATCTTTCTAAATAGTTCTGAGTATAACCTAAAGGATCAACAAAATTTAGACTGGAATACAATCATCTGAAGTCAAAATCTTTTATATTTATTCTCAATTCATAAACATTAAAAATGGAAAGCAAAGAAGTATCTGAACATAGTAACCTCTGATTTATCGCTAGCAATTGTTATCCAGAGCCCAAGCCAACCACATCAGCCCAGGGGAAGCTACAGAGAAAATTTCCAGTTTGTTGCAAAAAAAAAATTCTAAAGAAGAAATCGTCATGGAATCCATTTTGATGCTCATCTGTGTGCTGGTGGATATTCTGTTCCAAGTGAATGCGGTCAACTGCTCGATGAAAAGGAGTAGGAGCACCGAGGTATTACTCTACTGTGGTGCGAACGGGTGCTGTGCCAAGGGCTGTATGAAGAACGCAAAGGGAAAGTGCGTCGTGGAGGAGTGCACCGGCAGCCTGACTGGATGGCTGCGCCGTCCCGTGACCATATCCTGCTACTTCCATTGGTTCCTGATCCTGTCCGCCGGCCTATTCACCGCCATAATGGCAGTGCTGGTACTCTACTCGCTGGGGCTTAAGGTGCGAAATTGCTGGCGCCAACGATTCAGCACCCGTTACAGGCCCATCAGGAACGTCAGTGGCGTCTCCAGCGCCTCCACTCCGTGCTAAGCACACATGCGTGCCCCAGGAAAAAGAAGCTGCATAAACAGAGGAAGGGAGTGGCTAAGGGATTTGGCCTAAGCTACAATACATTAGCGGTAGCTTTGCTCTGGCTTCCAATTCAATTCTTTGGGTATCTCGTGCGAAATCCATGTAAATTACGATTCGGCACCTCGCAAATCCTATTAGTAGTTAAAACCTGATTAGGAAATACTTGCGGCTGTGATCCCTGTGCTCCTCCTGGGCTACCCTTTCCGGGGTTCGTTAAAAACAAATAATAATAAATGGCTCACATGTGAAATGCTTTGTGGCATGCCTGCCCTCCGGGGTGACAAGTTCTTCTGCGAAATGGAAATGGAGACGTACACGGTCGGGCGGTTGGAGTCGAGTCAAAGGTGCATAACCCACCCGTACGGGCCACATAAAACTAAATGGCTGCTGGTTACGATTCCCCCCTCGGTCTCCACGCTCCTCCGGCACTCCGGCACTCTGCCACTCAACCTCACACCACCAGCTCCATTGCGGTGAAGATAACACACATACGACATACGGCGGTGTCTGTACCTGGTACTCTTGGGGGGCTCGGGTATGATCGTATTTCGTATAACGTAGCAATTAACCTGAAGAGAAAATATTTTAAAACATTTTATTCAGATATTCCCAAATCAATATATCCAAAGTCTCAAATGTGTGCTGTTCCAAAGAGACGAATTATTACACATCTTATTGCATAAAAGGAGTAAGTAATGAGCATCTCATAGTCTCAATGTCTTATATACCATATGTATATAAACATATGGTTATAACTCCATACATATGTATGTATGTATGTATTTATATATATATGTATATATATTTAGTATAACTGAAAGTCAGTGAGCCGTGCAGCCAAAGCTAAACGCGTTGCCAGCAGTCGCGCAGAAAATGAAATGGAAAATATTGCAGGAGCGGGAAAAGGGAAAAATAAAAAAGAAATAAACGAGCCAAAAAGGAAAAGCTTTGCCAAAAGGTTTTCCCCTACTCCTCACATCCTCATATGTGTGTGTGTGTGTGTGTGTGTGTGTGTGTGTGTGTGGAAGGGCAGGGCATCCGGGTAGCAGCAGATTTAGAGGTTACTTATGTGTGATTTAGTACAGCATGCGCGAATATGGCGGCGATAATTCTTTAAAAATTGGAAATTGTTTTCCAATCGATTTCGCATTTAGGCAAAAAGCACTCAACACAAAGACACGGGGTTAGAGAGAGTGCGGGCGGAGGGGTGGACGGTTGGTTAGAATGTCAGAATGAGAGAGAGAGAGAGAGTGCAACAGACGAGTGTCTTTTATAAAGTTGTACATATATGTAGTTGGTTGGCTCAACAACCCACCCACACACACAGATGTGCATTTATATTTCGATAAAAATGTGTATGAAAAATACAATATTTCGTTATTTTTCACCTGACTGCCAGCTTTGAAAAGGATTTGGCAGGTGAAATCATGGATTTAGATTCGGATTTGGTTTTGGCTTTTCCCTTATAGTTGTGTTTATTTCTCGGGTGTCCTATGTGCGGTGCGGGTTTGTCATGTGTAAAGTACCATGGCTCTGCAAAGGGGAAATGCGAAAGGCGATTTTGTTTTGCTAAAAGGTACGACTAAACACAATTAAATCTGTTCACTTGTGGAGTCACTCGGGCGTGGGTCAAGTCCCCCTTTGTACATGACAGTGAAATCAATGTGGGTTGACTCTTTGCAACCGCATATACATATATCTCTTCCATTTGGAACTGTCCTAGCCACATACACATTCTCCTCCTTTCCCCTTCAGCATCCACATCTACGTACAGCCATTCATCCAAGTTTATATAAAAGACATTTCCTTATACCAAAACATTTGCTCTCATTGTGGGTGTCGTGTACAATGGACTACAATGGATGTACAATGGGCACAAAAGGTTAGATACACACAGGGGCGTGTTTCGGTTATTTCGAACCCGGGGGTGGGTTCTGAGGCAGGACCCAAAAAGCACATCCTAAGAGTGGGAGAGTGGGAGAGTCGTGACATATTTTATTTGCACAATGACAATACGAGTTACTCGACAGACACTAACCTCTCTTTTGGGTGAGGACGACACAGCACCCGCCGCCACCCGCCATTATACAAACGCACCCCTCTGCCACACCCACTCCCACACCCATACCCGCACACAATTACACTTACAGCCACGGATCTGCATGAGGCACAGAAAGGGCACGCAGCCGCGCACAAAGTAGTAAAATAAGTGCAAAGGATAATGCGAATCGGAGTGACAAGACCCGGAATAATCATTGGCTCCACACTCTCAAAAAGGGAGGCAAAGTTCCGGGCGGCAGTTCGATGTTGCTTGTGCAGAAAACGAATTGACTAAAAATCGTTTTGCCGTCGGCAGTTGTCATACAAAGGGAAAACTAGCTAGGGAAAATAACCCTAAATATATATTTATTTATCTAAACAATGAACTTTTGCTAAATCTATTATTTATAATGCGAATGACTGCCTGGAAACTTTTCACTTGGATTCACTTTATAAATGTGCATCCATCCCGCTATTTAGATAAGTAGCCACATCTGCAGGCTGCCTTCCAGCAAGTTTATGCCTTTTAAGTAAATTAAAATGTACTCATTTTGTTGCCAAGTTCAAGGATTGCCAGTGTCCCCCTTCCGCAGGCGACATCAAATCGCGCGCATGACAATATTGTCAATTTTATTTGCCGCCATTTTTATTGCAATTTTGGGGCTTCGTGCCTCCTGTGTGGCAAGTTGTCCCCTTCTGGCCTACTCTATCCGGGACTACTCCTTGGCCATCTATTCCTTCTATTCTTGGACTCGTAAAATATTTTTATGTATTTTTTATTTACCCAACGCTCTGCCATGCATGACCCCAATATGGTTCGGGTGCCCACTGCAATTGGCGCTCCTCCAGCTCCAGCTTCAGCTCCTGCTTCAGCGCGCTGGCTCCTTGTGGCAGGCTTTTAATGTGCGCCATTTTATTTGCCACAAAACCGACACACGGCACCATTAAAAAGCCATAAGCATTGAGCCTTCAGCTTGCCCTGGCCATGCTCTCGCTCCTGGTCTTCTGCCAGCTCCTACTTCCGGCCTGGACTCGCGCTTAGACATTATTAGAACTTTGCCAGCACCATCTGACCGGTCTCCCTGGCCCAATCCCAACCTGGTTACTGGCCATAAACTGTGCTGGAGCAGCAAACATTTTGATTACAATTTTTATGATTTTTAGGTCAAAATTTGGCATCATAAAATGGCCAAAAAGTAAATTTGAAATAAATAAACAGTGGCAGGGCGGGGCATCCGCGCAGGGGGGACAAATATGTGATGTGTTTTATGTGCGGCCTTTCTGGCCATCATTTTGTTTTGGCCATAAACCCGAAGAATATTGGGGAATGGAATGTATTGTCTTCATTTGGGGTTTCCTTTTTATGGAAAAGCTGACAATTATTTAGATTTCTTTTCCGAGATTTAGTTCATATTTCATTTCCGTTTAATGAGGCCCAAAGCTGCTGCAATAAAAGCGGCTCAGAAATTGAATTTTAAACTGCTTGGAATGGACCTGAATCTGGGACTAATTAAGCCATAAACCCTTTTGCATAGGCTAAGCAGGTGCCATAGATTTAACTCCAGGCGACTGACACATGACATGGATTGAGGGGAGAGGAATACTACTTCTTCTCGGATGGTAAGAGAGTACCATGGGGGGAAATCCTAACCCAAACTGTGCATGGCAGATAAGAGCGTCGAAGATTTATTGCCAACGCAATGAGTTAAGAAAGACAAGTACCTAAGGGAAAAATACAGCAGGCAGAGCTGGAGCGGGTTCTGAAGATGATGCTCATGATGACGAGTTTGTATATAGTACGTACACAACACAATGGCAAAACAGCTCGAAGAGCAGAAGCAGCGCAGTAATAATGATGGAGCTGCCGCATACTGACAAAGTAAATGATGGGGAATCAAGTGGCGCAGAGAGCTGAGGGGAGATGGCCTGGTTACCCGACTGGTTCTCTGATTGTCTCTGATGGGTGGATGGTTGGATGGTTGGATGGTTGAATGGTTGAATGGTTAGTGTGGCATGGGGCACGCTGCCTGGCAGGCAAATAATGGCTGACAGCATGCGTTGTGTCTTAAGACAGTTTCAAGATGGCGCTCTCTTCTGCTTCTTGTATGTGCACAATCGAAGCCGCCGAGATGTAAGAGCCTCACGAAAGGGTCTCTGTATCCTCTGGATGGGGTTGGAAAGATACAATCAGCACACTGAACGCACGACTCGGTCATATGACAGACATTGAAACGACGGGTATGTAAGGCTCTTCTTCTCTTATATGCACATAAACTCGTATACACATTTCCTTTGCTTTTCTTTGAGCATGCATAGGAAGTTGATTTTAATTGTATCTCATCCATTATGTACACTTCCTTTACCCCTGCCTTTGGCTGTCTTCCGTCCTGGCCTGAGCATGATTAACAATAATTAGACTTGGCATTAATTACGCCGAAAAGTTAATTACGCAAGTGTAGACTGATACAGATACCAAAAAGGAGAAACACAAAGCCTTTACCTTAAGGAGAGAAACACTTCTTCAAGCATTTCCTATAGCATCTCCCCCGAAAAGCAATAGAGCCACATTTTGTGACAGTCTCTGGAATAGAGAGACAATAAGGAAGTTCGTAAAACAGCTGGAGCGCAACTTATTAACCCTTTGACTCCACAGCCACCCACACGGGGAGTGCCACAGTGGAGGCCGCAATAAAATCAATCTTATTAAAACATTAACAGCGGGGCAAAGGGGAAATAAAATAAATCAAATGGTCGCTGGGTCGCCGGGGTCGCCCATCCCCCCCGTAATGGATGCTTAACGCAGCGGGAATACTTATTCCGTAGCATCCCGTACTTCCGCACTTCCTTCCCGTCTCCAAATCCAGGACTTCCCCCGATCCGGTAGCGGCACTTTATTAGCCCGCTTCAATCAAGGCGGGCGGGCAGCATATGAAATTCAAATTTGATGCCCGAATGGAAGAAAGGAAACAAAACCAACCCCCTCGAACATTTTGCATAGTCGGGGCAGGGAGTCAGGGGATGTCCTTTTATTATTATTTTTATTGTGCGGTGATTTTCCGGCAGCACGAAATCCTGTCGGTTGTTGGTCGGGGGGCATTGGCATTGGCAGTGGCAGTGGCACTGGCAGTGTCCTGTCACTTGGCGGTCGGCGGGGTGCATATAAATTCGACATAATTTCGTTGTAATGAATAAATTGATGGATGGATCTTTTTGCACCAGGTCCACCTCGG